TAAGGGTTCTACATCAATAACTTGCTTATTTTAAGTGTTTTCTTCCTATTTTCTATAGTTTTTTTACAATTTCATTTCATTCCCTGCCTAAATTTGGGATTGGAGTAGCTACAAGAAGAATCATACCCCAGTACTCACTTGCAAACTAAGTCATGCCTTTCTTTCTCCCTTTTGTATTCAATTATATTGGGAGATTGCCTTTTCTAAAAAGAGAAAAAATAGAGAAAAAAGAAAAATAGAAAGAGTGTAGTAAAGGCCAAATAGCTTTGTTCATTCAAGATTGTTGGCACTTCTTGAAGATATCTACTTGATGTTTTCTGAAGACACTATCAAGATTGAAGTTGGATTGTGCTCTACAATAAGACAACTTTTCCACTAAAACTTGAGCACTTAATAATTGAAAAATCTTGTGATATGCATAGTTCCTGATGATGCACCACTTAGGACATTTCAACATAAGAATCATGGTACCCCTCTTAGAGCTTTAGTTGTTGGGAATGGCCTTAGGATGGCATAGATGTTCATCATTCTCGATTGAGTTGACTAAGAATCTTAGAAACCATGTTGATCCTAGAGATCATTGTGATCTTAGTGATCCAAGAGAACATAAATATAATAAAAACATTCTATGATCTTCATTAAGATTATTATTCTAGTGATATTCATGATGACTGACACTATAGGCATCATTAAAGAGATCTTGAGGTTCATTGTGATCAACGCATGGGGAATCTAAAATGTTAAAAAAGTCAAGGTTGATGTCCCAACCTTTGGATGATTTATATGATCCAAATATGTATATATTGTGGTTATCTAAACTCGAATATCTCATTGATTAATATTCTATGAATGATCAAGAGTGTGTTAAGTCGGCTAATGGTAAATTGGTTTGTGCTACTAAGAGGTTTTTGATTTACAGTCTATTATGACAGATAATTTGGTTAAACCCATTATCAGAACTTAGGTTGATATGAAAGTTATCCAGAGATATAAAACTGACCTATATTTAATAAGTTTAGAACCGTTGAACAACTGATAAGTTTGAGACAATATAATTGTACTTTAATGAATGCTTAAGTTGATTTAAGAATCAAAATTTTCAGATGTGATCTTTAAGAGGAAAGATGGGTAGTGACATCTAGATTTGTGAATGTTCTTCATCCTGAGATTAAGATCTTAGTAAGACTCTTTGAACCAAAAAGAATAGAAAAAAGTTCACCATGAAGTCACATAAGTGAAAAGATGACTACACATTTCCTTTAGAGACAATGCAATTAGTCTATCACCACTAAGATAGGTTGATTTGGGCCTATTGAGTGATAAGTTGCTTTTCCCCCAAATCATCCCACAGCTACACTCTTATAGAGATCCTAAAAATGGTAATTTTTTGTTATATATGTTATTGATGTTGTCTGCTATACATGACAAAGAAATTATCATATAGCCTCATGATACCCTTATAAAGTTGCGGCTTTTGTGTGAGAATTTAGAGAAATTTCCTTCTTCATTTAGAATTCCCAAACATAATAGTTTCTTCTTGTTCTATCCAAATTGATGGAGTTTTTCTTCATTCACACCCTCCAAAATCATATCCAAACCATCAGAATACTAATCCTTAGCTAACTTATTAGCTTCTCCAACTCCACCTCCTTTTAAACCTTCCCAAATTGCAAATCAATATTACTCTACCAAATCCATCACCAATCTTATACCAACCTACACCATCACCACCTCCAAAACTTAAGATCTAGTAAATAACACCCTAACAGCACCTTTCAAATTTCTTCCTACCTTGGATATTCTCCACTTTGGAGTTTGTGTTGTCTTGAAAGTTGCCACTTCTCATTGGTTATATTGAGATTATTATGCCCCCCAAACTTTGGTATAATCTTGAGCACAAGCCTTGATTTAGAAAAAAAAAATTTCCTTGGGTATTTAATGTTGTACTGAAATTAGCTAAATGGGCTTAGCCCATGACTCTTTGGTTGTTTGGTGTTTGAAGAGTTGTGGCTGATTCGGGCTATTTTTTTTGAGCAATTGGCTGCTTGGTTCCTGAGCTGCTGTGCTCCTTTCTTGGTGTCTGTTCGGCTCTTGGCTGTTTCAATTCTGACTGGTCTTTTGAGGGGGCATGGCTGCTCGGTTTGTGGTTCTGCCGTGCTTTTTCTTTTGGGGTTTTCCTCTGTTCTGGTTGGCTAAATGGGGCGGTTGCTTTGGGTGTTTTTGAGCCCTTTTCCCTTATTTAAATGAAATGTTGGCTACTGTTGGGAGGTGGTTGAAGTGGATATTTGTCTCTAAAAATCTGAGGGTTTTCTTCCAAAGCTTGAGAGATTCTTCTTCCCTACTTCTTCTTCTAAGTCTTCTACCTAGTTCTTCTCTCTACAAGTTACCCTTCCATTGTGTCATTCTTCTTAAGTTTTTATAAGTTGTAGTGTACCTTTGTTTTAATATTATTGTTATCTTGTTTATGTTTGTCTATGTTTTAAGAAAGGAATGTCGTTTTTTTTTTTGACGCTATTATTTTGTCACATCAAGCCTCCTAATTTTTTTGCTTGGATGCCATCTTAGAAATGGTCATTTGACAAACAGCCTAAGCCCAAGCCTGTTGATTTGCTCTAAGCTCTTTGGCTCTTGAGCTGATGCCTCATGTATTATTGCTTAGAGGATTTTTTCATTGTCTTCATTTGATATACTAGTCTATGCTAGAGTCACCTCCTCTATGGCCCTTGCATTCAACTCTTCAAGAGGAATTTTTGCAGTCTAGGAGAGTAATGGAGTTGGTTTACTCCTGGTTCAAAATTAATTGTTATGATCATTTTGCATTGTATTAACATTATGGCTATTAGTCTTATCTTAGCTTCAGGGTTTTGAGCTTCCTTCCATATAAGGAGAGCCATGTATTGTAATGATTTGATGATTTTTCAATGGTTTAAACAACTCTTTCCACCTTATTCTATTCCCCTCTTCCCTCTCCCTTTCCTCTCCTTGGCCGACCTTGCCATGGCCTCATTCTCCCACTCCTAATGCCTTCCTAAGACAGATCTCATGCATCACATCCTCTTCTTTTCACATCCCTAGCCTCGAGCTAGCTCTTTGCATTCTCCTTCCTCTCTCTTTCTTTTTATTCCCCACTCTTAAGCCACTTGAAGCGCCTCCCCCCTCCAAAGCATGCCAAGGTTCTCATCCAAGGTTTCTTGGCTAACTCAACAATTTCCCTCTCCATTCATAACAGCTCAAATCTTCTCATGGCTTCCTCTTCATCTCCATGAAGATTTCAAGCCATCGGAATGTAAATTTGGTGAGGTTGAGCAATATGTCATCATCGGACTGCATCAACATGCAACAAGTTTGGTTGTAGTGAACCAACATTTGTAGTGGAACATATCGTTTATTCAATTCTTAGGTCAGTACTTTGACATTTGATTTAGGATTCCATCACCATTGTAGTGGTTATCATATTGTGTAGCCTTGGGTGAATAGGTGGCGAATTGTTTGAACTTTTTAGCTTGACTAAGCTTGTTTTAACCTTCTTACATGGAGATCTTAGTTGCATGCCCACAAGTCTCATTAATTTTAGTACACTCGTAAGATATAGTTAAGCCTAACTAAAATTGAAATGAAAGCATAGCAGAGGCCAAAAGGCATAATTGAGTAAGATACTTTTTATATGCATTGCACTTCCAATCAGGTAGTTGAGGCAATAGATTTCAAGTGAAAATAAACTTTCATTGAAAATAGGATTGGGAGGCCTGTTTATCGTTCAAACAAACATAAGTTGCAAATCAAAGAAAGGAAACTCAATTTTCATTTGCAAATAAGGATGTACCAAATCTCTTTGAGAGACTGCTAGATTGAAAGTTTATTTCATAACTTCTCAGCCAGGCGGAAAAAAAAAAGGCTTATCAAGTGTACTATCGGTGCTGACCATCAATTATGATGTAGGTCTACTTGAAGTTAAAGAGAAATGACTTTAAAATGAAACATCTATGTCGGATTCAGAGTTTTTTCTTTATAGATAAATTAGAAACAAATTTGTGTAATAAGGTTTGACAAGTGAAATAAATTATCTTGGGCCCTCAATTAACATTGTATTTCATTAGTTACACTTTGTAAGTGGATGCCTTTTTTCTCTACTATAGCCATGCTTTGGAGGACATGATGTTAACGTTTAGAGCTTGGAGATGAAGACAGATTTATTTAATTTAGGAAGATAATATGTGCTGTATACATAAGCTATCTGGTAGGTTTTGTTCTGATCTGTTGTTGTATGAGTTTGCAGTCATTTTAACAAATAAATGCACCTATATCGTGCAATTAATTACCATATATAGCAGACCTAGAATATGTCCTATTGCATAAATGTATTATTTCGAATGCTTGTCTGGAATCCAGGATGCTCATATTACTGCATGATAATTGTAACATGAGTATTGCTATACATGACAAAAAAATTACCAAAGTATGTGCCGAATTGGGTGAACTTACCCAAAAAAGAAAAAAAAGTTTTGGTTACTCATAAATGCGGCAAAGGACAATATGGTAATTTCACTAATTTAGTCCAAAGTTTAACATTATTCTGTTCACACATGGCTTAACTTGCTCCAGTTACTATACAAGTTATAAAGCCATGCAATCAATGGCGTTCCGGTTGAAAATTTCTAGTACTTACTGATATTGTATAGCTCAATCATAAAACGTTGCACCTTCATGCTCGTCTTTGACTGATGTTATTCTTGTGTTTTAAAGAATAACCATTGAGTCCTATGATCTAATGCATGTAGCCTACTTCCTGACGTTTTGACATAGAAAAGTATACGAGTCCGTGTTTCTGTTAGTTAATTAATGGCAACAACTATTAACCTCTGTTTTCAGGTCACTTTTCAAGTTCTTCGTTTGAGTGCTCTTTGAATTTGATCATCTCCTTTGGTAGTCTTCTTTCATTTTTGGAATAATCTTATTTGTTTTCCAATGGTAAAAGTCTTTTCTTGCAATTGACAATGCAGGTTGCGCAGGAGATAGAGTCAGAGGCAAAGTTTCAGAACGACTTCATTAGCCAATTGGTAATTAGTTAAAATGCAATCCTTAAATATTCCAAGTAATTGTCAGTTCTATTAGTGAACTCTCAATTTCTATAAGTTTCCACTATATTGGTATTGAATGAGATGTTCCTCAAAGCTTCCATTTATATCACAAGGGAGACATTCATAATCTAAATTTGTGCTTATCATTCCCTTAAGATTGCCAATCATATTGCTTGCTGCTGATCCAATTCTACGCTCATTTAATAATATAAACCGGACATGAGGATATAACCTGAGGTTCCTAAAAGTTTGGAGGGATTGATGGTGTATTAAGTAGATAGAAAACGTTTATGAGCAGATTTGAAAGGACATTATTAGGGAAATATTGATACAGGTGATCCTCTTAATTTTTGTCGGATGTCCCTGACTAAATTGACAAATTTTATAATAAAATTTGAGTAGCTTTCCTAGCCCAAAGTTTCATTTTGACCCTCTAGTTTCATACATTTCTTGAATATCTTTCAAGGTCTAAAAGTTACCAAAACCATCTTTATATAACAGAACTGTTAGAAAACTATCAAAATACCCCTTTGAATAATTAATGTATTTACTTCTCTATAAACCAACTGTTCATGCACTAGATATGTAGGGAGGTGGGCTAATTTCATGGAATAACTTAATGCTAACTATTTTTGTCAGCTCTACAAATCCTCATTCATCATACATTCATATTTACCCTTGCATCAAACAATAAATTTATTTTATGAAAATCTTTTGGCACAACTTTCTTCCATGTTGTTCTTTCTAGCCATTTGTCCTTCCTAATCTTCTCAAATTAATTCGCTATTCTTTTCATTAGAGCATCTTTTACCTTCCATTATGCACGCCCAAACTATACATCTATTTTATTCTTAAATATTTGTGCTATAATTTTTTTCTTCAATCATTTGATATCCTCTTAATTTTAAAGATTGTTAACGGCATACTTCTTTTCTCTATAATTTTCTCGTTATCTCCTCGCTTAACTATCAAATATTCATAATTACATATGATCTATTTCTTGACTCTTTCAAAACTTTCGTATCATTCTTTTTAATACAATTACCCATCTTTTACCTAATGTCAACTCTCATTTCAATATAGAAATTTTAGTTTTTATCTTTTAATTACTATTTAAGTTACATGGTCATATCCATATTAATAATATCTTATGATTGTTTGTTCATGCTTAGAAATTAAACATTCATAAATGGATTTCCACCCTCTTTTAAGTGATAAAAATATATTTTTGAATTAATAGCTCCATTACTTGAAGTGCCCTTTGCATTTCCTTAAGTATATATTTGCCATTGTATAATCATATGCTACTAAGAAGTTTGATATATTTTTTTCTCATTGTATTTTATTTCCTACTTCATATCCATCATGAATCAATCCTTTTATGAACTATGCACTAAAATATATGTCCATTTTAAATGATCGTCAATATATATTTCTTTTTTGGCATACAATTTCAACAGTTTATCCATCTCTTTTCAAAAATAAATCCTTTTTTTTTCTAAATTATCTTCTAATCTAATTTGAGAAGTATTAGCACTAATCTTATTCTTAATATTTTTCATCAATAATTAACTCCTTGACAATAATATAACATTTAAAATATAACTACGGCTTTTTCATAAAAAACACTCCTCCATATGGCATATTGTGCTATCCGTCCATTTTTTGCTTTCCTTTTGGTGAAATAATGTCATTTCAATTTGAAAGGAATCTAATGTGCTATTTTGCTTGTAAAAAAACAGCAAATGACACTCATCAAAGCTCAGGCGGGTGTGAAGAACAGCATTAGGAGGATGGACAAGAAAATCTTCAGGCAGGGTTCTAACCATGTTTTACATGTGATCCTCTTTGTCTTTTTCTGCTTTCTCGTCGTCTATCTCTTATCTAAATTCTCAAGACGCTGAAAAAATGGCGAAGTTAGTTCAAAGCCTAAAAGCTTCAGATGAACTGGAGAACTTTTTCAGAAGCTGCTGAAGAATGTCTGCGATAAAAGATACTTAGCAATTTTATGTCATTGACTGATGTAATGAAATGTTCAACTTGGCGTATAGGATTTCGTGCAGTTTTGCATGTCAGGGAACAAGAAGAGTTGAAACAAACTAAACGTAGAGATAATCAGACTGATCAAACCGATAGTGTAAGTATATTGTAATGAAGATTTTAACTTTTACTTGGAATCTTCCCTTCACGAATGGGTTGTTTGGTTTATTGAAAAAAGAACATTAGAGTAAAAGAAATGTACTATATTTATAAAGTGAAGTTGTGTGGATGTCTGTGAATGAAATGTTTGAGATTATTATTTTTATTTGGTTTGAAGTAAAATTATTGTAATGTATAGTAAAATGATGTTGGTGGCTAGTGGTGGTGATCGGTGGTGCCGGTTATGTTTAGACTATGACCATTGGTGGGCGGTCAATTGGCCATGGTCGGTGGTGGTCGGGGGTGATGGCCGACAATGACGGACGGTAAGCTCGCGGTGGTCGGTCGTTGCTGGCAACGATGGGCTTTGAGGGCGAGGTTAGTTGACCGTTGGATGGCGGTAGGCGGCGGTGTCTGTCGGCTGTGTTGGCTAGTGGTTTGAAGATGGTGTTTAGTTGCTTTACCCATCATTGGGTATTCCTTGTTATATGGACTATAAGAACCGCATCTTCTACGTTCTTTTTAATGAGAGCCATCCAATTTATCACTTTTCACACCCAATGTTCTCTTCCTTCTTGTGCTCTTTTTATTTCTCACAATCCTCTATTTGAATGTTTCTTTTATGCTCGTTGAAAATCATTTATTTTCTCTCTACCATAATTCCTCTTTGCACTCTTATTGATCTCTAAAAAATTCTCCTGTGCAACTCTACGACTTAATACCCATCTGCTGCGGTATTGGATATTTTCATTAAGATAGCTCCGTAGATTATTTAACAGTGTTCCAAATAATAGGCAATGATTAAATGGCAATGACCCATGCTCACATATCCAGTAAAATCGTGGCTATTGTCCTTGAATTCTTGTATTATCATAAAAACTGTTAGAGAGAAAAAAAAAATGTTAAGGATTGCACATAATCATTTTAGCATCAAATTCAAATTTATTAGAATTTCTTGAAGAGGAAGATCGCTTTCTTGAATGTAGGGAGGGAGAAATGGAGAACACACAAGGTTTTCTTGGAGAGGTGAAAACTGAACTTGATCTTATTTTTCCCTTTCTAGATACAAACTAGTCAAACGAAAAATATATAAATACTGATATGATGTCCTGCGGATTAACTAAAATTAGATCAATCAGATATATACACACACATACACTACTGAAAATCATCGCATTGTTTCTTTGCAGCGATTTCAAAACCGCTGCCAAAACCTGTAATTTGCACCGGATTTTATATACTATTGCAGCGGTTTTAACTGGTGCTACTTGCATCGGTTTAAACCGCCGGCAAAGGTTAATAATTAACTAAAAATATCAATAAATATTTTTTTCACTAATTCCGAGCGACAAAGTATTATACACACATAATATATGTTTGATAATTTTGAATAAATCAAATGGGCATGACAGATTATTAAACAAACATAAATTATACTAGATTTAGATTAATGTAACTAGATTTAGATTAATTAAAATATTGTGGAACATAATATCAATAAAATAAATTAAAGAACTTTGAACCATGATTCTAAATTAAATATACATTTAGAATCATAATGATCAATAAAAAGGAATCCAGATTTTGAATATTGTTACAATAAAAATTTCATTATTCTATCATTTAATTCATTTTAAAATAATTTAAATATTTATTGTATCATTTAATTTGACTCCCGATTTTTGATTCTCTCGTTCTTTGATTTAGTGTTCAATACAATTTTTAAAATCTTGCTACAAATAATTATTATTTAATAACTCTCGAATATAATTCATTTAAGTTCTTCTAAAAACTCGGTAGCAAGTATTTATTTCTTTGAATTTATCTAAAAACTACCTTGAATTTTATATTATTATTATTATTATTATTATTTTGAAACAGTGGTATCTACCTGTTGCCATCTCAAAAGAGGTGCATGGCGGCATAACTAAATAACTAATTCATCGGTGGGCATACAACAACCAACCCCATAGGTGCAGGACCACTCAGTTATTTTCCCCCAACTTAAAGAGTCGCACCATATGAGAGAGGAATTGAACATGGGTTGGGGGGTTCTCAACCGTGCATGGCCACAAACTCATCAGCTAAGCTCGGTATATAATATATATATATATATATCGAGTAGCTTGATAAGCTTTTGAGTCGAGTCGGGTTGAGCTGGAACTCAAGCTCGTTTATCATACGAGCTCGATTGTAGGCTCGAGCTCGAGCTCGAAGCTCGTTAAGCTCGGCTCGCGAGCTCGTTAACGAGTCGAGTTCGAGCCAGCTCGGCTCACTTACACCCCTATTGCCGGCCATCATCATCTTATATAATATTCAATAAAAATAAAAATATCATTTATTGAATATCAAAACTATTTTATTTTATACTAAATATAAAAAAAAATAAAAAATTGATCCTAAACGGCTCTATAAACTTCCTCCCTCATATCTTCACGCCAATCCCTTCTTGCGTCGATGTAGCGTAACGGCCAAAATTTTAAACTCTGAAAGCCTCCACGCAAGAAACAATACATTATCGGGACGTTTCCCTAAAGCACTAAAAAGCCATATCTGCTAAATCATTAATCCTCGTTGAAGGAACGAACATCTAAAAAGCTAGCTAGCAGAACCTCAAATGCCAGCCATAATAAACACAACAGCATTAGTAGAACCAGTTCAGGCAAAGTTCCAGAGCTTCATGTCTTTCTTTCGGCCTTTAGCTTCATATTATCGCCGCCATATTCTTCTTTCGATCAGCCATGGTCAACCTGCTCCAACGCTCAGAATCTGCTCATTCAACACCAGAAATCTGCACACCAAAATACAGATCAACAACTTCAAGCCATCTCCGTTTCCTCAATCTTCTTTCTACAGTTGGTAGCATCTCAGAACTTCATTAATTTCATGTTCTCAAACTAAAGATCTTTTGATTATAATTTCCCATTCTTGCAGGGCAAAGTGGCTCTTAGGTTCAGTGCTGGCAACAGCACTGCCCTTCTGGAACAAGTCCTGGAAAAGGCTATTGAGAATAGAAGGTAAATCAATATAAGATTTCATCAAAGCTATTACATTGGTGACAACAATGGAGTTTTGTCTTTGATGTGTAGATGAGGTTGAAATCGTAGTGGATGCGGTGGAAACTGCAGCGGAGATTGTAGAGAAAGTAGCCAATGTTGCTGAGAAGGTTTCGTTGGATATTGCAGAAGAGATGACCGAAGATGGGAAGCTAAAAGAAGCTGTTCTATTTGTTGAAAATGTAGCTAAAGAAGTAGCAGTGGAGGCTCACCGTACACAGGAAATCATTCACAAGGTATATGCATCGACTAATTGCTTTCCTCTTCTTTTAAAAATTAATCATAATTTGAGAAAGAAGAAGTTTGGTAGAATAACATTCTCTTTTGATCATTTATCTTGTACTTCTAAAAGAAAGTAATAGGGGGATTTCCATAAATTTCTTAAAATTCTTATATTTATATTTATTTATATGACTCTCTAATATTTAAATTACATAAAAAATATCACTAACATAAATTAATCTAAAGTGAAAAACACATTTCAATGCATTATTTTTGATAAAATTTATATAGTATGATGTGATTATAAAAATATATAATAATTTAAATGTTTGGATTATAAATAGATAAAAATCTTGTGGTATATATGTAAGATAATTATTTTGTATTACAAAATGACAATCAAAATATTGTTTTTAGTCTTAAGATAAAATTGTAATGTCTTATATTTATTAAATATTTTTATGTTTCAATCATTTAAATTTGTCTTGCATTTTCACACAAATTTCCATCAAAAGCTCATCACCCACATTTTTTTTCCCCAAAATTATCTCATTAAAATGGAAAGGAAAAAAAAAATTATATTGGAGGATGAAGAGATTGCCATAGTTTGGATTTGATAAAATAAAATCGACTTCTTACGAGGAGAGTTTGTTCAAGATTTCTTGCGATTGCTTGCACTCTTTAACTGACAAACTTGTGAAGTTCAATGAATTGTCAATGTTAAGCTTAAGCAATCTCTGCTTGGAGCCACTAATTATATTATTTTTGTAATATCTCTAATCATAATTATAATGTTACATTTATTCCGTACGCTTACCAATATAACATGGAGAAAATAATCAAAATGATCCATTGACTCTTTATGAAATATCAAAATAGTTCCAAACTATATTAAATGATCATTTTGGTCTCTTAACTCTTTAAAGAGAAGCTAAAATCTTCTCATCATGGGACCATTTTGATTCCATTTTAAAGATTTGAGGGATCAAAATAGTCATTTAAAATAATTGGGGATTATTTTAGTCTTCTATGAAAAGTCAAGAGACCATTTTGATCATTTTCTTATATCAACATTTAGAAAAACACATTAACCTAATAAATGTGATAAATATTGAAGTAGAACTTATTACCATGAAGTTGGATTGAAGAAAATTAGCATGAATGCAACATGTTAATTACATGGATTTAGGCTTCATTTGGGGCGGTTTTCTTACTGCTACTTAAAGCAGTTTTTTAGTACAAAAAATAAAATTCTTCTACAAAAAAGCTGCTTTATAAAACAGTAAGAAAATCATCCCAAACAAAACCTCAGTTTATCATTTCGGTATGCGATATGTCATTATTGAAAGATTTCATATTGCAGACTATACATTTTTTATTATATGACATGAGGCAATATTTATTTACAGATGGAGGAGTTGAAGGATGAAATAGACGAGCTGAAAGACAACGCAGGTAAGGAAAAGCATGTGGATAAAGAGGAAGACCCCAACAAGCTGAACAAATGAATTTCATTCAGCACAGACTATTAGTTTTGATTCTGAAGCTGTTTTCGTTACGAATTTGGGCATCGGAAATTCTTTAATTTGTTTCTGTGAAGTTCTCCATTAGTTTATATACATTACAGTGCTGTGATTACTTTATGTATTATTTATGGCAAATTATTAGGTGCGGACGCCGGACGGAGAGAACCGTCCCGTTTTCTTTGTGCTACAATAAAAGCGAAGTCAAAGATCAGCTGCTACATTATCTGTTCTTTAACTACACTTTTACTATAGACATAAAGAAAATCGGACGGTTCTCACTCTCCGATATCTGCACATAATAATTTCTCATTATTTACAATGTGTGACGACTTGTTCACTTTATTTCATTTAAAGCATCTGTGGACTGTGTAATTCCAAACTTTCTCTATTTGCTGGTATTTTTTTTTTTTACATTTTCCTTTGCTCTGATTTGAAGCAATTTGGGTTCAAATAATCCTCCATTAAGATTTATCAAATCGCTAAGAAAGTGAAAGAGGAAAACCCTAAAGAAGATTACAAATACACTTAAGATTTTTTGTGATTAGATATATAGAACTATCGTATTAATCAAGCATAGATAGATAATTAGCAATGAGATCCACCAACCATAAATATGGAGGGTATAAAATAAGTACAAAATGAGTTGGTGAAATAAAATTATATATAGGTTGAGCTCAAATTCGTGGCCTTCTCAATGAGAAGTGGGAAGAATGAAGTATAGTGTTAAATTTGGAACTCTTTGAACCATCAAAAATTCAAATTTAATATGAGTTATTTGGTTGTTTAGATGTTATAAATCCTATTAAAAAGAGAATTAATTTTCTTAAATTTATTATTAGATTTAATTTAATAACAACTTCAATTCCGACAAACTTGTGGCCTTTCCTAGTTTGTTCGATCATGCTCTTCCTTCATGGGAATGCAAAGCATGTTACTCAAAAGTAGATTGTAAGTGACAGAGGGAGAGATCGTTTAGTAAAAATAAGTATTGACACAACTCAAAAATTCGACCAGAAAAATCCGGTTCTGAGTTTACCTTTTTTAACAAATGGGGTGGATACAAGTTCTAATATCTGGCCCATTTGAAAAATCGGGTTGTGTCTGAGTTGACCTGAAAACTCGAAAATGGCCTGATTGCACTTCCTGCTCCCACCTCCGTGTGCTAGAAAATCCATTGCACCGCACGTCGTGCATGACCCACAA